TCCTTTTGGGGCTTTTCATACCTCACTGGGGTCTATCTTTCACACTGGGTTCGAACTCAAAAGCGATTGGACAGTTGAAAAGGTTCCCTCGTTAGTTTTTTTTTATTAGAAAGATTTTTAGTTGTAATATTGTGATTTATAGGAAAATAAATAACTTTTATTGTAAAATATTCTTTACATGAAGAGTTCTAAAGGTAAATATAAGTTGCAATTTCATCTTATAAGTGTTAATCTACACTGAAAGTTAGCTTAATAATATTCCAGAAAGAAAGAAATCATTTCTTCATTCTCTTTCATATTCATTTTATTTTTAATACGATGAAAATCAATAGACAAAAAATAATTATATTAATAATATTTATTATTAAGATAAGATCCTCTATACCACGTTGGACATCACGTAATTACAATACTAGGCATTTTGATTTTACTCTTTTATTTGAAATTTTCAAGTTTTATTTACAGTTATCAATTTATTTAAATACTAGATTTAAATGTAGGTAGATTTCTGTCGTTGGAACAATAGTCAATTATTTGAAATCTATTTTCTATCTTATCTTAAATTATATTGAAATAGTAAAGAATTCAAACTCAATATTTAAAACTAAATATAAAATATTGTACGAATTCCTCCTAAAGTTAATTATTTCGAAAATATCTTCTACAAATATTAAATTTTATTTAATCGTTTCATTTGAAAGTGACAAACGAATGGCGTTCTTTTGTATTTATTTAATTGGTTTTATTTTCAGAAGGAAAATGTTTTAGAATTAATCGATGTAGATTTTAACAAAACATATTTTAAAAATTAGAAAAGTGTTTTTCTTCAATTTCAATGAATCAATGAAAATAATAAGTTTTTGTTGGTAACTTCGTATATAATTAGCTTCAATAGAATCACCCGTTCTTTTTAGCGAAAGCTACATAGTTAACTATGATCGAGTGAATCAATAATTTTTCATGCGAAAAGCACTTGAAAGAATAATTAAACTTTCTCGAATTTTATTGATAATAGTTTCTGTCTGCTAACGAGGGAACTATCCCAAATGTTAATCACGGATTTAAGCGGGAGCTATGCCAGTAGAGTCCGTCGAGCCCAGATTTTTAAACCTTTACTGCTAAAGTTCGGGTCCGGATCCGGTTCTGGGTCTTCAAAAAAATTTAATCGACCAGATCCGGGTCCGGGTCCAGAAATTCTTGAACTCGACGGCCTCTATATGCCAGTCAATAGAGCTCAACGAGCTGATCACAATGGTAATAAACGTTTTTCCCCAAATAGGCCTTTTTTATAGAATTTTTCTGATCATATTTCTCTAATGGAATGTAGCGTATAGTCGTCCAATCGATCATTACATATACGCATATCGCCTTTGAACTCTTCGGAGTGTTCAAACTTGATGTTTTACTTCTTTCCTATACGTTAAACATTCGTTTTTTACGTCTTGTGAATGTTAGTAACAGTATAAGTGATAGTACTGATTCTTCTTTGTTCATAAAGTGTTCTACATGACTGGACGTGTATTCGTTTGACGAAAATTATAGGCGGACAGAGAGGAAAAAACATAATTTTGTACCACTGCTCGTTTTTTTCCTTTTTATTTTTTTTCTTTTCTCTGGTTGTATCGTGTTCATTTGAAAAGAAAAGAAAACAAGAATCTATTATAACAAGATAAACATTGCGAATATCGCTAAACGTGTATTCGATGAAATATTATCGAAAAATATCGCTCGGATAACAGAATTGACCGAGAAAGAAAATTCAATTGCTGGTCAAATGCTAGATGTGTTGAACGACATTTTTACAAGCAACAGCTATGAAATTGATAATGGTATTACTTTGGAGCTCGTCGACAATATTGATAATACAGACATCGATTTTACGTCTAAAGATGGTAGGAGTAATTTCACTTCCGAATATACTACATTTACGTTGGGCTATATGAGAAAAGTTGTTGATTTTGCTCGAACGGGTATCGCATTTACAATAGTGCAACATACATTTTCACGCGTGAAATATCCAATGAAATTAGCACGATTTCGAGAATACGTACAAAGCGATAGAAATCGTCGACAAAAATTATCTCATCTTGAACTATTTGTCCTTGAAAAGTTTAAACGAGCACGTGATACAAATTTACCAGATAACGATGCAGACATCCGTTGATGGTCATTAACTCAAGCTGCAATTGAAAGTATCGATAATTTTGTCGCCAGCGATAAATGGTTGTTAAATTTAAAACGACGAAGCCACATTCGTTTCAGAAAAGTCACAAAGTTCACTTCAAAACATGATGTTTTTTATAAAGAAGAGATTCACTAAGCCGGAGAAGAATTCGTTAGTGAAGTTAAAAGGATCTTACCTAAGTATAAGCTTGAATCTATTTTTAATACTGATCAATCCAGTTTCCATTACGAATTTGCATCAAATCGTACGTTATCTTTTCGAAATGAAAGATCGACTTTTGTCACCGTTCAATCACTCAACGCCACCACACATTCGTATACTATAATGACACTTATCAATGCTGCTGGTCGATTTGTTAGTCAGGTTTCATCTGTTTGCAGGAACCTACAGGTCATTTTCCGGTGACGAAGGATGTGTTCTCAGCTCCAAATGTGATCGTTACCTGCAGTATATCTGGTAAATTAGATCGATCTTTAATCGAGTATTGGATATAGGGAGTTCTTGACGATGTTACAAACAACCAGTTTCTTCTATTAGTCAATCAATGGTTCGTTCAAACTGATGATTCTATGTGTAAAGGTAATTTAACCAAATGACAATCATGTAAATTGATGGTGACACCACGAAAGGTCACATCAACAAAACAACTTTGTGATCGATATTTCTTCCGTCAATGGAAAAAATTAGTACGAAAAATCTATCACCATGTATTGATAGATGATCTCAATATTAATTTGAGAGATCAAGATTCAATCATCAAGATGCAGTCGCTGATTCATAACCAGCTTTCTACTGATATTTTTATACCAATGATTTCCTATTCATGGTCAGTCTGTGGTTATTTTCCACCAAAATATCTGTAATTTTAAAATATAAATGAAGTTTGCTTCAGCTTCAAGGCAGACCAATGTTCGATCAGTTACTGTAATAGTTATTCATTTATTTCTTGTAGTCATTGTCGACATGTCCTTTGTTTTGAATATCTTTTCAATAGTTATCATTTTCATTACTAAAAAGAACTGCTTCTCGTGCTTCTTTAACAATGAACAAATTTAATATATACTTGCATAGTATGTACCATAAAGTTAATATGATCAGAAAAATTCTATAAAAGAGACCTATGGGGGAAAACGTTTATTGCCACTGTGATCAGCTCGTCGAGCTCTATCGGCTAGTATAGTTCCCGCTTGAATTCGTGATTAACACTTGGGATAGTTCCATCGTAAGATGTGTTCAAAAGCGACTTCTATTTCCGACTTATGCTGTTTTCAATCGAATCATGGCGATTCTATATTGACTTTACTTTGTATGAAATAAACGATGTTCATCTATTACATCTAGTTAGAATCTTTCGAAGAGCATTTTTGTTAAATCCTACAAAGTCATCGTCAAAATTGTTTCACTCGACGTAAACAGAAACAATATATTAACCAATATTTACAAACATTCGAATTTTTCTCTTAGATATTTACGCGAGACGATAGTACGATTGACTCCGTAATTCGAATTGATCATTCCAATTCGAGAAAATTTGGCGATGAGTTTCATATGACATAATAAAGTTGATCATATGAGATAGTAATGAATCTTGATGGTCGATTCAATTGATGTGATTCTCATTCGTCTTCAAAGTCGTTTTAACGTCTAGAACTGAAGGAATTTTAAATTTTTCCTTTTTTTCCTAAAAAAAAGAGTCGATCTAATCATTGAAAGATTTTGCCTTTTCTCATCAACTCTGAAAAGAATTGATCAAATGAATTGTGTTATTAATCAGTCAAACTCGAAGATGGACTTGATTTCAGATTTCTAAAAAAATTGAAATTTCATTGTCTCGATTTCCATCAGTGATGATAGAAACAGATTATTTCTCATGTTGGTAGAAACTTTTGCTGGTCTGTATGAAAACGAATGAAGAAGTGGTCATCTATCAAAATTTTTCTCTACACTAAGAAAAAAGAAGAGAAGTCACGGCATCAGAAAATTCGTTTTAAGTTTCGTATTTCACATCTAAAATGATTCATACTGTTCGTAGTAAATATCGTTAGTTGACTGTGACAAAATAATGTTCTAATATTATTCGGAAAATTTCTCCTACATTCATTGTCGTCATCAATCAAAAATATTTTTTTCTGTAAAAACTAATGTGATGAAAAATTGCATACAAATACAAGTCTGTCATTAGCACAGAAATGTCTGTGATAATCAAAATATAAACGAATAGTATTTGAAAATCAACACAGCTCTATGTTGAAGATGATAGGCGATAATCATTGTCTATATTATCATATATAAAATCAACATCCGCGATTTTCATAGATTTTTCTAAATTTATTTAGAATACTGCGATCAAACTAAGATTGAGTCTTAACACAGATGAACTTAAGAAACAAATCTCTTTGTGTCAGTTTGAAAAATTTTTCATTATATGAAAAAGCGGACAAAACATTAATGATAGCAATGTTCAGTCATAATACTTGATCGTTTTTCGATAAAATATATGCAGTATGTATTTTATTAGATAGATTCAATATCTGCATCTTGTTTGATTTGATCTTTAGATTTTTGTTCAATTTAAATTATATAAATTATCTTTAATGATAACAATGAATAGGGAGGAACGTTCAACAAAAAAAAGCAAAATTATTAAACGTTTCTTTGCAAACAACTGGTCAACAACAGATACATCTACTTTGACGAACTTTTGATGTTCTTCGTTTAGCTGCTTCCTTATGAATTAATTGAAATGATTGCCAAAAAGGTCCCTCAAACGTCGATTCATCAATCCAAAGTGTTATCCATTCTTTTGATTGTGTAAATAGAAATCGATTTTCAGGACACAATATATGATTCCATCGTTCTTGTCGAATATCTTTGATAAGTGATATAATAGAATAAACAAATTTCAATGCCAAACTGCGAAGAGACACTAGATAAATCCGTACAAATTGTACATTATTGAGTTTTGCTGCATTAATTTTCAAATGTTCAATCGATGGAAAGAGATCAGCAATCATCTTTATATCTTCTTTTCGAAATGAATGCTTATCAGCCGAAATATCCAGCCGTTTTACGGATTTATTTTTCATCATAAGAATCTTTCGTATGCTGATCAATTGTTTAAAATGAATTTTTAGTGAAGTAATACATGTCATGCGTTCTATTAGTAAAGTGATCACATTGGTATTGTGCTCGATTTGTGTAACCACCAGTTCAGTAATTGTCGAGAGATCAATATGTTTTATCATCCATTCGAGCGAAGACGAATTAAAATGATCTACTTCGAGATGTTTTACATGGCTGAAATGATGTTCTGTCGGCAATAAAGAAGATTCACCCGAGTGATATAGATTAACAATGCAATCGATTTGAGAATTACTTTTTTCAATTGAATGTTGAGGAATAGTCCAAAGTTGTAGGTTATTTTCCTGTTTTTTCCAAGAACTATTCATATTAAGTCTGGCATCAATAGGATAATAATAAAGAATAATATTATCATCATCAGTATAATCATGTGTTATAAAATAGATTTCGTAATTTTTCTTTACAATCCAAAATGGATCTTCTAAAGATGATAACATATCGACAATATTTTCGTCGGAAAGAAAAAGTCTACCAATTTTTAAAATAAATTTATTTAACAATGGTAATGATGTTTCAAATAATCTTTTCCAACTAGGAAGACAACGATATTGAGCTGTTGTATCAGTTATTTCTAATTGACGTAAATTTGGCATGATATTAAAATAAAATGCAAGTTTATCGAATGTAATTGAACTATAATCATTGATGAATTCAAAAATCAATGTATGAAGTTTTGTTAATGGTTGAATATTAGATTGTTTATCATTTATTGATTCAGTTAAATTTGATGATTCTTGACTAATTCGTACATTTAGATAGATGAGATGAGAAGCACATTTGAAAATATGCTCAACATTGGTCCATGTACAGCCTCGTCCTTCAATGGTCAAATGTTCAAGATTCAATAAATTCAATGATGGAAAATAACAAAAAACAGGTTGAATATCAACAGAAAGAAAAAATCGTCGAATTTTCGTCAATGTTAACATTGCCAAAACAACACAATTGAATTCAAATAATGAACGAACATTTTTACCTTTAATTGATAATGTATGAATATGTGTTTTTAATATAGAATGAAGTCCTTGATCCATAAGATCGACTGAATTAGCATCAAAATCCAAATAAAGTCGACGAAGTCGTTTGAATTGTTCGAATGATCGAAATAAATATAGAAATGAATGAATTTGACCAGGTGTATCACATTCTGATAAAGTTAAACTTGTTATCATATCATGATAAATTGGTAGAAGATTCATACAAAAATTAAAGTCTGACTTTTTAATACAAGTAAAATCAAAATAAAATTGTTTACATCGATTAATGAGTGCATCGAAACGACTATTCAATTGATTTAAGAATGAAATAAATATATCAACTCCATTGATATAATTTTCGATAAGATCAAGCAATATTTCATTCGAAAGTGATTCAAGTTTTGTCACTGACATTATTCAACTGACAAGTAAAAGAAGAATATTAAATCATACTCATGTCAACAATATTCTATATGATGTGTGTATGTATACATACTGATAAAATAAAATTAATTTAATAAATTATATTTATTGGATAAAATTTTTATAAAAAGCCTAGATCATTTTTCTCATTGAAAATATTAGAATTTTTTCGTTGTTGTTTTTTTTTCAATCTATTGCGACGTTTTTAAATATGTGACATAGGTTGCGCTAGTTCTGCGTCAACTTCAAATTTACTTTGGAAAATAATTTCAAGAAATATGAAAATGTAACACAAATTTTTTGTTTTTATATATTCTAAAAGAGAAAAAATTTATTAAATTTTCTCGAAAAATTTCTATCCAATCAACTTGATTTATTGAATTTTCAATCATTTTATTCAGCAAGCCCGTACGATAATATTTGCACAATGATGAATCAGCCCATGAGTTTGATTCATTCCTGTCAATGCAACATGCGCTAACAACAGAAGGAAAAAAAAATCGAAAATCTTTTTTTGCACTTTTTTTTTCTCATTCATATAATCATATCATGTCTTGTGTCAACGAACAAAACATTAAATAATACAGTATAATTCTTCTGGAAGACAAAAATAGACAATTGCCGATTTCAATTATTTGTTTAGTTTGAATATCTTGTTTTTCAGAAGTCAAATATGTCATCTTTCTGCAAGCAAAGTAACAGATTATTATAATATATAATCATTTACTAATCGAAAATCATTTCGATGAAACATTGTTGTCAACATCCACAGTCAAAACTGTATCTTTAAGGCTAATCTGTCTACCTAAACAATAGAATTGCTCTGTTTACTATCATATATTGCATTGGATTTTTACAGTTAGCTGCTAAATATACAAATCATCATACACTACTGAAAATAAATGAAAAATACACTAACGAAAGATACAGCATTTTTCCATTACTTTTCAATCAATAAATGATTATTCAGAGTATGAGTCTTAGATAATAGAAGATTCATATCGACCCACCTACACTGATATCCTATTGTCCACAACAATATTATATCTTTGGTTTTTTTTATTCAACAATCAATAAATATTCTACTTTAAATAGTTGTTCCTATGAGAATATACTTCGAAAACAGTAATTACAATTATTATTATTACTTTTCATACTAAAAGTTTTAGCGAAAGATGTCTTAGCACTTCAAAATCGTTGTTTTTAAAAATCATATGAATTCTACAAATTAGTTTAATATATAAACAAGAAACAATTATAAAAGCAAATATCTACTTATGATGAAACTCATCTATCATACCAGTAAAACTTCTACAAACCCCCCACAAAATAGAAGACCCTCCTATATTACAAGGATTCTCTAATTAGAAGCCTCCCCCTTCCTGGAGGCGTCGCTCCATACAAATTTTGTGTTTTTCCGAGCGGAACTGACCAAAATTCGGGTTGAATGTGACGCGTCATAATATAAGGCTCGGGACCTTCTATTCCGGAAGGGGGTTTACTAACATGCAACATTTATAGTTTCTGATTCGTCTGTTTTAAGTTCATCTTCATTGTTAGATTGAACATAAGTATTATGTTTTAGTGTCTGTGTCGGTTTGTTGAATTTTTTTTCTATCCAATGTTTCAATAATGTAACCTGAATAGTACCTATTAACAATTGTTCGGTATGATATATAATTAATGGTAATGGAAGTAAATCACTAATATATTGATTTGTATTATCATGTAAAGCATTGATTAATGGAATACCCATACCTAAATTTTTCATTACACCACAAAACATAATTGCAACAGTATCTTTTTCAGAAAATTGCCAATGTCGAACAGGTAATCTGGCTATAATAATAATTAATAATGAAAATAATATATAGATACCACCATTAATAAAAATTAAAATAAGAAGATCTATTTTTTGTATCGTTTGAAACGATCCAGTAGAAAAAACAGTAGAAAATACAGACCATACGACTATTAATAAAGCTAAACTATTCAATTCAGCAAAGTGAAATTTTTCTCGTATATATATTATTTTTTTTGTCCATAATAAATGAATCATTTGTCCAATAAATAAAGGAAGTAAAATAGTTAAACATAAATTTTTAATAACATGACTATAGTTTAATTCATGTTGTGTATTACTTGTTTTTGATAAAAAATCAAATATAGAATTTTTCATAAAAAGAAATATAACAGCTGGTGATAGAAAAGTACCTAAAACACTGCTAAGTATTGCATTTAATAATCCAGCATATTCATTTCCTAAGGCATTCTTAGTCATAATAACACTACCAGAAATCGTCGGTGGCATTGAAGCCATTATAATGATACCAAATATCAATGTTTTGTTCATAGATGTTTTTGCTAATAACAATGATAAACCATAAACTAGAAATGGAAAAATTATAAGACTATAGATTTGAACAAAGATATGAAGACGAATATGAAGAACTTCTTTAGCAAGTTGTCTTGTTACAATAGATAAACCATTAAGAAAGAAAATGAATATAATACAACCATATTTAACAGTCCATTCTGAACGAATATAGCCACCTGTTTTTCCAACATTTGGAAAAATATATGCTATTAAGATTGATAAAAGCAGACCAATAAGAAACCAATATTTTCGAACTATTGACAATATTTTAGATAAACATGATTGATTTGATTTCTTTTTTATTTCTTGTTGTTGTTGTTTATTCTTCATATAGGTCTCAACTGACGATATCATTCGAGGTAAACAATATAAACAAACTAATTTTTCATTATAAATAGCACAAATCTGTGGGCATTCGACCAGAGATGTTATATCAAATGAAATACTCTCTGATAGTATAACGATTATTGAAGAATCTGTTTTATCAATAATATATTCTTTTAATTGATAATTATTTGTAAATTCATGTGTAAAATTGATTTCTGACAGAGCCTTATCGGATGAATTTCCAAGCCAAACGAGTTCAAATAAATTTTCGTCATTTTTTTCATTCGACATTTTTAATATTAATATTATATTAAAATAAAAAAGAAAACAATTAATCTAAAATATATAAATATATAATTGTCTTTCTGAAAAGAAAAAGAAAACGATATTATTCAATATAGATTTAGATCGACAATTGGACAAGAATTTACACGGATAAACAAATAATCTTTCGATTTATTTTAGATATAATCCTTTCTTCAACATGTTTACTAGATTCTTTTTGACTTCAACGTTATTATAAATATAACAGCAGATATTTTTTAACTATCACCATTTTTATCTATTCTCTTTTTTTGAGTAGCCTGATAATGGGCAACTAGTAAAATTAATTGTATTCGACTTTTAGAACCGTTTATGATTACATGATCTTTATCATATTACAAAATGATAAGCGAAAACGCTGTTCGATCACAAGAAAAGAAAAAGGTCAACTTCTTTTTTTCCAGGGAAATTTGACATTTCAATAAAGAATCATAGTCGTACACCAATGAAATACGTAGACTGCGATCAACTACATAACCTATATCGTTGGCAAGTATCTTTATCGAACTATTTCACATGTTCTATGGTGACTATTTTACTACATCAACATTTTTATATAGTAATCATCCAAAAAAAGATATCTTGTCAATGTCAACACTATCATTTACCATTTCGGGCAAAAAATTTAACTTAATTTGAATCATATTTATTTATACATTGAATGATCCATCAATGTGAATTATCCACAAATTGTATGAGAATTAAAGAAAATAAAACAAAGAACTATAAGCATGTTGAAAAGTTATAAGATCCTGTAAAGATAAATTACTATTCAATCAAAAATCGGTTGACAGTGACGAATATAAATCTTACGATCACACTATAAAAATTGATCGTAAAGTCAATAAGCTAACCACATATCCTACCCTATAACATGAACTAGAAATGCCGAAAAATTTATTTTTCAGTTCATGAATCATAGAGTTGGGTTGAGTAGTTTGAGTGCTACTCATAGGGTAACCCTAATCTAGATGGCGGCAACAAAAGACATGGTTAACGAAGTTGTGAAATCGATTTCAATAGCAGAGCAACGACAAAGAGGAAATTATGACAATAAGGAAAAAAAAAGATAAAATTGAATATACGTGAGTCATACTTGATGATGTGATCCAACAATAAATAAATATTAGGGCGCTCATATCTGATATATGTCACTGGGTAACGACATCTTTATTAAAAAAAACTCTTCTATTATTATTTTCTTATAAGTATAGTTCATTTCATGATTCAATCCAACAGTCATTCATGAGCCAACCGATAATATCTTTCTCCAAATTTGAATGAGTGGATCGAATTTCAGATCATCGAAATGACCTGCCCGACCTACTGGATTGGGTTGGACTATAGCAAATCCTTAGCAACTCGAACCTAATCTATTGAACATTTCTGACGGAAAGCAAATGCTACATTAAAAAAAAATTTGAATGAGAGATCACCACAAAGCAAAACTATGTTAATAATTTGATCCCTGTACTCTCTCCTTTTCAACAGGAGAATTTTTTTAGTACTGGTGTCTTTCCTTTGGAAAATCATCAGAGCAAGATATTGGACATGAGCAAAATATTTTCCTACTAGTATTCTATCACAATTAATATTTTCAAAAATATTTTATGAGTGTAAACATCAATTGTTGTGGAAGATATGTCATATGTGTATGTCTTTATCCTATACTAGGAATTCTATGTATTCTACTAATTTGATTAGATCTTATGAATATGCTACAAAAAACTATAATTTTTTTTTCTTTTTTGAATCCTGCTTATTCGAAACAATCCAACTAAACAAACGACATGATCGCAGATCAAATCTGTTTATAGAAATCCGATGGTATCCGAGTTCTAGTGGAATTACGAAGTGCCATGCGAAGATGTTTTTAATGTCGATTATCAAGAAATTGATAATTCGTAAAAAAAAAAGACTTGTGATTCTTTCTGTAATTGATTACAATGCATTGTTTTTTCTCGAAAGTATATATACTTTACTGGAATTGGCTCTTCTACCAACGTAGTTACAAACGTTATATTTCGATCAAAAGATTGAATCAAAAAATAGATATTAAGATATTCATTGCTAAGACAAGTCTATCAATGCATATTAACATGTTTCTAAACAATACTATCCATTGATAATTATATTGTCTTAACATCAGCTGTAATGCATCACTTCAGTTGACTAAACAAAATGACAATTTACTTTTTATCTTCTTATCGTTTTAAATATTTCAAGTTTTGAAAAAGAAACAGCTTCATAAAAGTTTGCCTACTCGGAAAGATATTTGTAAAAAAAACGAAATATTCTCGAAAAGATCAGAAAAGAGATTTGTGTCATTTAGTCGTTAAATTTTATTTGTGCATTCGAACGAATGTACAAATGATTTTTCATTCATGAAATCATCACGACAGAAAATACCGACTTTCAATGCATACGTCTAGATAGTAGAACGCAAGATAACGCTATTTAGAAAAAATGTTGACATACTCTAGCAGAGATATCTTAAAATTATATGTTGACATGTTTTCTTTACAGTTTTTCTTGAAAATTCCATCAATATATAGAAAGAAATGTTATGATAAAACAAGCGCGTCTTCATGATCAATTTATTATTATGAACACCTTCTTGTTTAGATCTTCGATAATTTTTTCTGCAGCACTAAACGTCGATGGTATTTGTTGAGCAGTATTCGACGGATCGAAAAAGTACATCAAAGCATGGCAGGTTACTCGAGATCGCTCGTTTAATCTGATCGAAAGGAATTCTGTTCTGATGCGTATGGTTCGCTGTTAAGTTAGCCGTTGTTTGTTGACCTTGAACAAGTAATTCTTCTCGGCGTGGTTGACAGTGATCGTTATTGAATCTATGCTTTGCTGTTGGTGGACCACCTGAACCAGCACTATTGTTTAGTCTTCGTTTGTTCGGTGTTGATGTTTCTGGCTGTAATTGTACTCTAGTTGAGATATTCTTATGATTATTTAAATAAATTTGACGTTGCCGATCATTGAAAACCACGCTTTGGCTCTCGTAAGGTTCGAAATGACCAGAAATTTGGGGTGCAAGCGCGTTTTGGTGTTGTTGTTGACGAAAGAGTAAGAAGTCATTTAAAAGTACTTCATCATTTCCCAAGAAATGTATTACATCATCTCTTTGTACTTCACCAGATTTATTGACACGCAAATCATAACTACCTGTATCCTGTGTTTCTTGTCAGCGATTATTGATTTTCTTGCTACTAGAACCATTAGTTCTTGAGTTTCTCCGTCCATCATCTGGAAAGTAATAAAAATGTGTCTATTCCTCACGAAGCAAAAAAGGAGAGTGACTTCTTCATATTGAGAGGTCACAGCTACGTTGATTGGATCATGTCTTAAGGATGCCACATGAAAGACTTATTTATCAAGTTTTCCAAGCTATGCTCGAAAGAAAAAGACCAATGGGTCATTCACAAATGAGTTGACGCAGTTATATCACGCGTCTATGTAAGGAGCGATTCGAGCTTTCATGAACCGATGTGATACTTGCGGCGGTGGCTCGAGATGAGTGGAAGAATCTGCTAAATGGGTTTAAACTCTCGACCCGTAAGGAAAAGGAAAAACGAAAATGAATGAATGAATATTTCATTTTAAATAAACTCTATAAAATCTATCCATTTATTATGAATTTAATATAAAAAAATAATCATTATTGATTTTCTTAAAGACATCTACAATAAAAAATAAACAAAATATCTGAAATAAAACTCTCCCGTATTTTTTTTCTCTATTTCAATTTACAATAAATATTTTCCTCATTCATACATATAAAGTTGAATTTGCTTATCATTTAATACGACAGATAGTTGTAGAAGTGATCTATGAAGAAAAGAAAGCTCCTAATAATATGACATAAATTTCAAGGCTAAATTATATTGATAGTAGACTTCCACATTACCGTATTAAGGATCCTCTGAAACAACTATATGATTCATCGATGTTTTCTAGTGTTAAATGTTCAATGTCCTATTGAATGTAATAAAGCCCTGACCACTACCAAAGAGCCTACATTCGTGAATGAATAATGTGCCAGATGTAATAGAAGACTGACTTCTCTTAAGTAATTAAGTTTTCTCAAAATTGGGACTTTAATTAATGCATTTAGGTCAAAATATGCTCAGTTTTCAAGATTATGAACTGAAAAATGTTACAAGACTGATGTCAACATTACTTGTTGACTTTGAGAACTCTAAAAATGTCTTCCAAAATCCTTAAAATTTTGTTTCTTTTTTAAAAAACTCTTTTATATAAAAATAATGAAAATGAATAGGAGACTAGAGAAGATACTTCTGAAATCTTTATTCGCTTGATCATATATAAAAGTCGAGATCTTTTATTCTATGGACAAGATTTATTGTTAACAAATAGCCGAAAAAATATTCAATTTTTATTTGTTAAACTCTTCTTTGTCTGAAATCAACCAGAGAAAAAAATGATTCAATTGTTATTGAAAAAACAAGAATTAATAAGTATGATTTACCAAAAAAGCAAATTACAATAAAAAAACATATTTATTGTTCTAGTGTTATCTAAAGATACTCAATCAAGATTGTTTTTAATTAGAGTTAATATAAATATTGATATTCTATTTGAATGTAGACATAAGATGGTCGATTTAATTTCAGTACCTGTTCATGAAGATTACTTATTTGATTGTTTCGACTCATCGAATTAATTTTTATTTTTTAGTTTATATTATAATCATGCCACTAGTTGTCACGGTCCTACTGCTCGTGATATAGAGTCATTATTTCATAAAGCGATATAGAACATAGAGATAGGAGCCGAGCCAAGATCTTAAAATTAGAACAAATAAGATCGATGTAAAAAATAAGGTTCGCAAAGAAATAGTAGAAATTTTGAAAAACTTTGTACTCCTTTTTGCTGACACAAACGAAACTATTGGATTATTGGGAAACGGTTGTACATGCACCAGATCATTATTCTTGTGATCATAAACATTATCGTATAGTTGAAGAATCTATAAAATCTTGTGAAATATGATTTTATCGAAAAGATATTCGAAGATAATTAAATGATTATAATATCTTTTTTGATAGTAGTTTTTTTTATATTACTGTCGCCGCTGTTGAGCAAATAATAGTCTATGCAGCTGGAAAACGCGACATATATATGCGAAACGAATTGTTTCAAAATTTATACTTACATAATGGTTTGTATTTCTAGCTGATTTTTGTTTTACTCACTTAATATTTTATTCGAGCTACAAGTAATATATAAAAGTTCATTGAACGTTTCGAAGAATGATCATATTTCTCATCGTTTGTCGATATAATTGTTTGGAATCTCGTTTAAAATCATTGAAATAAAACAACTGAAATATATTACTTTAATGTTTTTAATAAGAAAAAACAAACAAGTTTCAATTATTAAAATAAAAAGAAATTTTGATTTTCTAAACCAAAAAAAACCAAATGTTCTTATTTATTTGTTTGAAATAAAAATTGAAAATAAAATTCTATATTATTTAAAATTAAGCAAGTTCCATAGGTTCATATGTTCCCATTGTTGTTTTCACTTTTTCATCAACAATATCAAATTTGAATTTTTTAAACATTTGTTGATGTAATCAACGAATCAATATTAATTTATCATTCCGAATAGCCACAATTTCATAAGGTAAAAATTTATCTAATTTTTCTTTTGTTAAAACAAACATATTAATGTGACTACCCGAATATAAATCAGTTATTATTGAAACACAAAGAGTATCGCATCATCTTCCTTTTAAATTAAATAAATATCTATTTAAATAAGAAAAAACAAAAAAGAAACTTGAACTAACATTCATATTATGTGTAAAATGATCTTCAATAACAGATAATGAAGTATATACATCAGAACCTAAATATATCAAGAGAATTAAAATAACACAAGATTATTTATCTTGTTAATCTGATTCAATAAAAGGTAAATATGCAATATTTCTGTGAGAATGAACTGTAGTTATATGCGAACCAGTTACATCGACACCAACTATCATTATATAAGTTCCGATATAACCTTGATATCTAAATAGAATATCATGAACGATTTATTTAATTTATATTTAACTATTTCGAACAATATTATCAAGCGTAAGAAATCGACTCATTTTAATCGGACTTTACTTTTTTTTCCAAGAAAAGAAAAATAAAAGATTCTTTCTATAGAGAATTCTTATTCTTGAAAAGAAATGTGCACAGCGTCTAAAAATCAAGACGAGGGCAGTACTGAGGTATTTAACGTTAACCGGCCAACTTCTTTTTCTCATATTAGTTACGTTATAATGTTTCTTTTAAATATTATTTTATTTGTGAACATCTACTTATGAACAACAATATAATATTGAAAATAGTATCAAAAAATCTTTAATTATACAACATCTAAGTCAAACATATATGTTCTCTTAAACACTTTTCATTACGATTGTTTTCTAACAACTGTAGCAACTCGAACTTGTCGATCTTGATTTAATTTAAGTTGAGATTCAAGTAAACATGTTTGAAAATCACAATAAGCTGATGTTTCAGCACCGAGTGCATATATATTATCAGATAATCGATGAATTTTTAATATATTATCATCAAATATAATATTTCCTTTTGTACATCGACTATCAGCACCAACTAAAACAGCATCCTTTTATTTAAACGATGGAAACAAAAAAAAACAGAAATTTTCATTTAACTTCTTTTAAATAAAATCCTAAAATATACTTTGTATTTGACTGCTACAATTGTTGTACCAGTCTTTCGTACTGTGCCAGGCAAGACACTATTATTTCATAAGAGTTCATTTCTATAACAGAATAAAGGATAATTATTAAATAATATAAATCAATCTAACTATCGACAATTATCAAAGACAAATCCACCTGAAGCTTGTTCAAAGGCAAAACCAGACATGACTTCTTTTCTTCTTGTGTTTTTTTTATTGATTTTCATTAGAAATGAAATGAAAGAATTTTTTTTGTCTTGAACAAGAAAAAACTGAACTAAATGAAATGATTCATCAGTCACATATCGACATCTATATTTTCAATTTAAAGAAATCTTTTTATATTTAACTAAGATAAATCTTTTCAAACTTGATTTTTTTTAATTATTTAATTATTAAATCGATTTTTATATTAATCGGACTGAAATTTCGACAGTTATTGGTTAAACCAATCAATATCAAAAGAAGATTTTCTTTTGCTTTTCGAGAACTAAACTAAATGAATCTTTGGATATTATTTAACAATTAAAATATTTGACAATTTTATTTTTTGCTAGATAAAATTTTAAAAAAAGAAAGAAGATGGGACCTACTAGTGATAATAACGATGTTCATCGTCCAGGTGCACTTAAACAACAAAATAAACGATTTAAAAGTGGTCGTCATCGATCTCAACATGAAATTAAACGAAGCACTAAAGGTTTTTGTTTTTTGCTTCACTTTAATTTAATATTTAAATAATAAAATAATTTACTAAAAGGTCGAGTGGCAGAAAAAAAACATGCACGTAGTTTAAAACGTTTAAATGTAACAAATAAACAAGATCGATTAAATACAGCTATTCAAATTCGAAAACAAAAACTTCAAGCTAATAGAGAAATTAGACAAACAATTGGTGCTATTGATGGTGTTCCACAAATTATTGTAATTATATTTTACATTAATCACTTTTATTTTTGATCTCCCAACAAGACAAAAGATCATATATTATGGTTACATGAGAATATCTGATCAAAACGAAATAAGTCACAATTAGACATGTGCCGGATCAACTGTTTTCGGTTTCGATCCCGGAAGTCAGCTGTAGTACTGACCTCGGCAACTTCTTTCCTAGTAGTCTCGGTGCTGGTCTGAAGAAAACGATTCTGGAATTTCATCATATGATATCTAAAATAACTCTTTGATATTCGGTTTTGTGTATTTATTTAGTCTATAGTTATCATTTGTTTGGGTCATCTCTCTTGAATTATATCCTGATTGATATAATCTATAAGAAAATTTGCTCAGAATCATTGAATATGTAACTATAAAATTGAGTTTGGGTTTTAGCTAATATTTTTCTCCTAATCCCAGTCCTGATAAAGTTTTAATTTTTTGATCTCGCACATATCTACTTCGAATAGAGACGATTTAGAAAATCGAATTCATAATTTAAGAGGCTTGTAATGATGAATATATTGATAAAGATCTATCGAGAATAATAAATTGTTTTGAATGAGAAAAATTTTATTAAAAAATAATTTCTAACAAACAAATGAAAATTTATTTATTAATTATATTGAAAATGTTTAAATCTTTTTTTGTTTTGTTTCATAGATTCATAAAATAAAAATTTAATCGATAATGATTTCCACTTGCACATTATCGATGTAATGAAATTTTACTTTCGGAAATGAAGTTTTTTGAATTCTACATCGATATATTCTTGAAAGAAAATATTTATTTTTTAAATCAAATAATAACTAAATGTAGAAATTTATTAAAAATTAATTTCAGTTGATAGTTTACAATAAATAGAATCATATTTAGCAAAATCATTCAACGTGTTCGAAAATAGTTGAAATAAATGAGCTCTAGAATTATTTTATCTTCGAAAAATCAAATTTAAAAAAATTTTGTTTAGACAGTAATACCTTTATCATCAGATGTAAATATATATTCAATTATTGAATTATTAACAAATTCAATCGATGATAAGAAATCATTTGATGAAGCAACTCAATGTGGTGCAAGAATTTATACGTATATTTATTTATTTATTTTTATTTATTTTATTATTTGTTTTTATATAATATAGATGTTCGAAACTTCGATCAAAATTTTGTTTTTTAACTCCAACAGTAACAAATTTGGAAAATGTTCTTGATGCTGCTAAGGTAATATCATCTATTTGTAAATATAATTTTAAAAAAAATAAAGCATATTTAAAGATGTCTGATACAATAATATATGTGTTATCATCATCAAATGGTATATCAATTGAAGGAGATTATTTACTTGATTTAATAAATGTTCATTGTCTTTCTGGAAATGTTATTTATTCAATAATTGAATCAAATGATGATTCAATGTCAACAATATCATCATCAACATCACGAAATTCATCATTAAAAAATTTAGAAAAATATCTTGAAAAAAAATTTTCAAATGTTAAATTAATTCCATTAAATAATCCACAAGATGGTCAACGTCTTCTATCGAAATTAACTCAACAAAAATTAATTAAAATAACAAAAACATTTTCAAGACCTTATTTATTTGCTCAAACTTTTTCTTATTTAAATCCAAAGGTAAGAAAACAAAATTATTTTCTTTCTCTTTTTTTTTTGTTTTTTATATTTAATCAAATATTTTCTATATAAGTCATCAAAAAGTACATTAAAATTAAGTGGATATTTACGTGGAATTGATTTATCTCCAAATGATCTTGTTTATATACCAAATTTAGGAACATTTCAATTAGAAAAAATTGAACAACATCAATTTCAACGAGATGTAATATCAATTATTTTTTATTAAGAAATAAATCAAGAAATTTTAAATATTTTAGTCCGATGGAATAATAAAAACAATTGTTGATAAAACATTTATACCTGATCCAAAGCTTCAACGATCATTAGTATTTGAAGCTGAACAAGATCCAATGAATTTTGATCAAGAACAAACATGGCCAACTAAAGAAGATATTCAACAATCCGAACGTCAATTAAAAAAACGTGTACCTAAAGGAACTTCTCAATATCAAGCTGCATGGATTCTTTCTGATGATGAAGATAATGATTCTCTCAATCAACAAAATGTTTATTCTTTTTTTTTTTCTTTATTTCTAATATAAAATCTTTTTTCAATATATTAGGATTTCGATGAAGATCATCAAGAAATGATGACTGATTATGCTGATGATCTACAATCAATTAAACTTGATAAAGAAGAAGATGAAGAAGAAGAAGAAGAAGAAGAAGAAGAAATGGATGAACTTGTTATGAATCCAAATAATTATGATGAAAAAACAGATTTAGAAGAAGATAAACAAACGTTTGTTTTATATATTTTTATTATATTTATTTTTATTAAAATATTTAATTTAGTTTAAAAAAATTAAAAGAAGCGAAATTAGATGAACAATTTCCCGATGAAGTTGATACACCAATGGATGTTCCTGCTCGTGTTAGATTTCAAAAGTATTTCACTTTTTGTTTTTATTTTTATCTAATTAGATTTTTTTTTTGTTGTTGTTGTTCTTATAAAGATATCGAGGTTTAAAAAGTTTTCGAACAACAAAATGGGATCCTAAAGAAAATTTACCATCGGATTATGGAAGAATTTATCAATTTCCTAATTTTCGTGCTATGATTAAACAAATTCAAAGTGAACAAGAACATAATCAACATAAACAAGATCATGCTCAGGTTAAACTTGTTGTTTTTAAATATATATGTCTATTCTTATCAATCAATTAATTTATCAAGAAATTTTATAGAAGAAAAATTCATTTGTGTTTTTCCCTATTGTTCTAGAATTTGTTTTATGTAAAAATCTGAGTGATAGATTGAGAGAGATGACACACGGAATGATTGTTCTTCTCTTATCAATTCTTTATCGGTTTTTCTCAGCAGAATTACGATCGTGTCTATTTATCAAAATTGAAGATCTAACATTGTTTATCTCTAATTAAGTACGAATACTCGTCAAAGATAATCTATCCGATCATTCTCAATAAGATTTCTTGAAAGTAGTTGTGATCATATTCTTCAACTAAATTTCGAACAAGTCGAACATATTATTGAATTAATTGACTAAAATTTCTATTTTTATGAGAAATAGATAATTGTAATTTTATCCATATATTAATTTCATTCTTAAATGTAAAGATGTTGAATAATGTAGTTGATAATCATTGAAAAGAAAAAAAAAGTGTCTTTGACGATGATCTATTATCATTAGTTAACAAGTAATTTTCATGTTCTATATAAATGTAATTAACTTTTTAAGAATTATATTTACCGAAGATTTTATTTGATGAAATACTTATTTTAATTTGTATATTTGTTACAGGTGCATAGTTATGTAACTCTTTATGTAAAAGATGTGCCTGTCAGTCGATTTGGTAAGAAAAAAAAAACCAAATATTCAAGGAAAAAAAAACTTCTTGTTTTTTTCTTTTTAAAGAACCTGGTCATCATTTATTTGTAACGGGTCTTTTACCATATGAACAATGTTTATCAGTATTAAATATTGTTTTAAATCGTACAAATGATAGTGAAATAATTCTTAAATCAAAAGAACGTCTTATATTTCACGTTGGTTTTCGTCGTTTTGCAAGTTCACCCATTTATTCTCAACATTCAAATGGAGTTAAACATAAAGTATGTTACAATTTATTATTATAATAATTAAAATAGATAAGAAAATTTTAAATTAGTTTGAAAGGTTTTTTCGGCCACGACAAACCTTAGTTGCAACATGTTTTGGTCCAATAACATATCCACCTGCATCAGTTTTAGCATTTAAACAATTTCCTGATGGTATTTTAATTCTTAAATTATTTTCTTTAGTTCTTTTTTTTTGTTTGTTAAATAAAGGTCGTCAAGAATTAGTAGCAACTGGTTCTCTTCTTTCAGTTAATCCTGATCGTATTATTTTAAAAAGAATAGTATTAAGTGGACATCCATTGAAAATTCATAAAAGATCAGCTGTTGTACGATATATGTTTTTTAATCCTGGTTTGTTTACTTTTTTATTTTCATTTTATTTTTGTTAATTCTATTATTTATAATTTAAATAGACGATGTTAATTGGTTTAAACCAATTGAATTACGTACACGATGGGGTCGACGAGGACATATTAAAGAATCACTTGGTTTGTGATTTTTTTTTGTTCTATTAATTAGATATAAAAATGATATTTATTTTAATTTCAAGGTACACATGGTCATATGAAATGTCAATTTGATGGAATTCTTAAATCACAAGATACTGTATTTATGAATCTCTATAAACGTATTTATCCGAAATGGACATATGAACCATTGTCAATTCAACAACAACAACAACAAGAAAATAATGAAGAAAATATGCAATGATTCGT